ATCACTGGCCATGAGGGAAACGCAAATTAAAACTGTTTTGAGATTTGATCTTCCCTCAGCTAAAATAGCTACCATCAAGAAAGAAAAAAGTCAACAAAAGCTGGCAAGGATATGAGGAAGAGGAATGGTTACCCACTGTTAGTGGGACTGTAAACTGGTGTCACCATTATAGAATTGAATGTTTCTTTTTACTTGTTCGGGTTTGTTTTGTTTTGTTTTTCAAGACAGGGTTTCTCTCCTTGAACTCAGAGATCTTCCTGCCTCTGACCCCTGAGTACTGAGATTAAAGGTGTGCGCCACCAACACCCAACTAAGTGAGTGTATGGTGATATTTTATTTGTACTGAAATGTGATTTTACTTGTATGTTAATAAATAAAGTTGCCTGGGGGTCAGAGCTAATAGCAAGCCATAGCAGAAGCTGGGCAGTGGTGGTGTATGCCTTTAATCCCAGCACTTGGGAGGCAGAGCTAGACAGATCTCTGTGTGTTCAAGGATACAGCCAGCATGGAGATACACACCTTTAATCTCAATACCAACCATAGAAGACTTGGAGGTCTGTATAAATGGGCAGTGACGAGGAGGTCATGTGGTTAGGTTTACAACCAATGAGAAGGCAGAATAGAAAGTCAATAAAAAGGACAAACACACAGGAAGTAGGCCTCTTGCTGAGGAGGACAGCATCAGCAGTGAAGGGTAAGGTTTTTGGCTCTTAGCTATTGCTCTGACCTCTTGGGCTTTCATCTCTGCATTGGCTCTGTGTTTCTTATTTAACAAGACGGTTACATCTACATGAGTGTTTCTCAAAAAGCTAAAAGCAGAACTACCATATGATCCCATATTGCATTCCTGGGCATAGAAAAAAATGGACTACATATTCTACTACAGAGAAAATGCACATATATCATTGCTATTCTATTCACATTATCTAGGAAATGGAATCAACCAGGATGCCTACCAATTAAAGAATGGATGAAAATGTGTTACAGATACACAACAGAATTTTATTAGGCTGCAAAGAAAAATAGGCTGCAGGGAAATAGAAGGAACTAGAAAATATGCCGCATGAAGTACCCAGACCCAGAGGGACAAACATGGTTGCTCTCTTTTATATGTGGATGCTAACTTTGAATTTTTAGATTTGTGTATTTAATTTGGAATATCTTGTAGAGCTCAGGATGCTGGAAAAGACACATGCAATGGGAAAGGAAGCGGCCTCAAGGGGTAAGGATACATTAGAACACATATGCTGTGAAATAAAGGAGGAATACTGAGGATTAAAGGGTTAAGAATGGATGCAGGTGGGGAGACAAGGCAGAGGAAGTAGGGTGTAGTTGAACCCAGACGAAGAATATATGAAAAGTCCTTATGGAAACCCAACACTTTGTAAACTAATTTAAAAGTTCCTTAAAAGAAGGAGTTTGACCAGAGGTACTCTGCATGGTAGACAATGCCTCCTCTAGAAGACATGAATTATTAAGCAAAAATTCACTGCAAGACATGGGATACCTTCCTACAAGTTATTAGTCAAGGAACCCCCAGAGGCCCCCGAGCAATGCAGGCTATTGTCATTGTTCTTGGTTGTCTAGAAGTAGATGGCAAGACCCTATTGCTGAGGACACAATACACTTTGCTTGATGGACAAAGAAATCAACTGGACCTGACCTAAAATCTTCCTTCTGCTGACTAGCTTTCATAGTGCCAGAGGTGCTATGCAGGCTGCTGGGAGAAAAAGCCATCGATAGTATCACTCAGCAGCAAAACCTGCATGCTACAATACTGACCTGTTTGGCAAGATGTGCCACTGGTACAATAGTGGTACAAAGGTTATGGGGTTAAATACCACTTTTTTACTGGGTTTGAAGCACACTTTACAATAGTGAATTCATGTCTGATACAGTAAACCTGGTCAAAAGCCTATAGTTAGGAAGGTCACAGACCCTAGTGGGGAGCTCACTACTGTAAGGATGTGTTGTCAAACTGCCTTCTTAATATTTGTGTTTATACACACAGATTAGTGCTGCCTGTATCCTTGGCTAGAGAAGCTCCTCTCTACAGTGGTGAGCAGTTAATGCAGAGGTTCAAAACTGGTCAAAATGTTGAGAATAGTGAGTACTGAGTGCTCAGCCATGACATGACATCTTTATCAACACATCTTTCCTTTCCCTGCTGTCACCAAGGCTCAGAGAACATTGTGGAAAGGGGGCAGGAAAACGTAGGGGTTGGAAGATGGGAAGGAGTGCTGTGAAGTGCTGTCTTCTGACATGATGTGCTCACTGCAGCTATGGTCACCTGCACAAGACCAAGCCAACAAGATCAGTCAACATTCCAGCCAGCAGCATTAGCTCAACTCAGTCGGTTACAAAGAAATCAATCAAAAAGAAAGGACATAAAAGGTAGAGAGGGGCATGTTGAGGGGACCTGGAGGAATAGAAAAGGGAACTCTGGGGTACACATGATAAGATGCACTGATTATATATATGAAGTTGCCAAAGAATAAGAGTAAAAAAAATATATGGATGAACACTCTTTAAAAACAATAACAAAATATTTCTCATTTTTCCACATACTCCAAACCTGTGATTCTTGGAAAATTTTATAGGCAAAGTTCCACAGGGTGTTCCAGAGCCAGCAACACAAACAAACAAGACTATTCTGAATAGCACATTAAAGAGACTCAATAGAAATTATCAAGACTTTTGGTAACTATGACAGTATAATATTGACAAATGGGTCAGGACAATAATATACAGTGAATATGAAGTGAAAAAAGACAACTAATAAGGTAAGGTTATTTTTAAATCTACACAGGAAAACATCTGGTCTTATCTAATATCAAAATAAAGAGGGTTATGCGGAAATGGCAAATTACTCTAAAAAAGGAAATGGTTTAGAGTAAAGAGGTCTTTTCTCGCCATATTACTCTCCACTGTGTCAGTGAAGGGAGTCTGCTCACTACATTCCTTCGGGAGCCCACACTGATGGAGCAGCAGCTGTCATGCATAAAAATGATTGTCTATTTGTAGCTCATAGTCCATAATTAACAATATGGCTCCATTACTTATAAGGAACCACAAAAACAATCCTCCTCCATGTACAGGGAGAACATTTATTTAGGGAGCAGCAATGCCAAAACCAAAGGCATATGAGGGACTCCACTGCTCCAGACAGCCTCGTACAGTTCTTGGCACACGCAGCATTTTGCACACCCTCTAGAAGGGATGTCCACACCTTCGTAAACCACTGTTCTGGTTAGTAAACTCCAGAAAGAAAGTTAGAGAGCCAAGGTATAGCCTTCCCCAAGTGTACAGTATGTACATTAGGTTCTCAGAAACAAATGACACTATCTCCAGACTAAGCATTTTCCTTGATAAGGAAAAGGACATTTTACATTTGGTAACTCATGTAATCCTGAGAAGATCATTGGCAATTGTTGCTATCATTATTCCTATTCATTAAGGAATGTTAATGTGGGAGCCAGTAAGATGTGCTTTAGGGTGCAACAGTGGATCAGTGGGTAAAGGTGCTTGCAGCTTGCGACCAAGCCTGATGAACTGAGTTTGACCCCAAGACCTACATAGTAGAAAGAATCAACTCCCATAAACTGTTCTCTGACCTCCACAAGGGTGCTTCTGTAGCAAGCATACATACATGTGCGTGCATACACATAAAATAAGTGAAAATGTGATTTTAAAGATTAATGTTAATTTGCTTAGTGGATTTGGTACTTCTGTCCCTTCCAGACCTGCGACAGTTCCCTGACAGCTACCTCTTCCTCTCTGCTTCAACACAATTGCTCCTAGGTCACCGGTCTCCTTAGCCTCCTCCACAACTCACTTTCTCCCCTCCCACCAGGCACTAGTAGTTCTGAACTCATCAAAAGTTACCCAAAGGAAAAACCTTCTGCAGGAACAACTATTCCCTCTGCAGGACTAACTCAAGCACTGTCCCCTCTGTCCTCTCCAGCCACATCTTGCTAATTTGGAGTCTTGAGAATCTTCCCACATTAGTTCCAACTGACATGCAGTGAGGAAGAAAAAAGCCATCCAGAAAAGCATTAAAACTGATATTTTCATGAAGGCTGTTCTTTTGAAGTCTCCTGCAGAACACAATGACTCTCACTGACTCTGTCACTTAGAAAAAGGGGTATATGTGCCATTATTTGATGTGGTTCTAGATTCAGCTGCCCCCTAAAACTACCCTAAGGGAGAGGGATGAAGGAAAGGCAAATATTCAAAAACTCGGATATCCAGAATCCTCGATCTCCCAAAGATCCACCCACTCTCATCCTTCTGTAATTCTGCATTTAAGTTGGCTGGAGAGCAATCCTAACTAGTACCTTCATATTACAAACGAGTCCCAGTTGACTCCACCAGCAAAGATCTATATATATAGTGTTATAGGGAATGATTTAATTTCCTAGTCAAAACTGGACAATCATAAATGGTAATCTGAAATCTGAAAGAGTAATATTAACATAAAGTAGCATATGACACCACAAATACATATACCACAAAAAGATATTATATGTCATTCAAAATCCTTGCTATGTTAGAGGAACTTTGAATATATATAAATGTAACCCAAACACTCAGAAAATCTCCATTGTAAAGGGGGAAAAAAAGGATTTACAAACTGATATAAAAAACAAACAAACAAAACAAGTTCTCTAAAAGAGATAAATTACATTCACCATTAAAAGCAACTGCAAAATAGTTATGGTTCAATTTGTGTAATCATCCTAACTTGCTAAAACTATTCTGAAATATTTATTTCATGACATTAACATGATGCCAGAGATCTGAATTAAGGAAATCTTGTGGAGGGGGATAAGACGAAGAACAAAGGAATACAAAGGAGGCAGGTTCTAAGTTGGTAACTGTTGAAGATAAAATGGAGATTTTATTATTCTATTCTTTCTAATGCCATATGTTTAAATTTTTCTCCATTAAAAAACTTTTAAGATATTTAATCCTCATATTGTAGAAACTAAGACTAGTACCTTCCAATCTTTGAATTTTTCCTTTCACAGAGATAACAGCTTCAAAGGGTGAAACTCTTAGTTCAAAACATGTTCCAGTCAATGTTTCGATGAAGAGTTCCATGGTGTCATAGAAAGGAAGTTTGAAGTAAAATGGTCCCACGTTATCTTCATTGAAGAATGGAGGCTCTTTTCTGTTATCCATTACTTTGACTTTTCTAATTCCTCTGGAATATGTTGTATGCAACTGTATTCCAGTTCTACCCAAGTCAGCTTTGAACATTGGTAATATGTATCGTTGTTCATGTTTAAGTTTTGTACCTGAAAAAACAAAAGTTCGTTTTTTAAAACAAATCTGTAAGTCCCTTCTTTGTTAAGGTTTTCCAAATAACTCTGGCTCATACTGGTCTTCCAAACAATCTCAACTTACTTTACTAACTTTACCTGTGTCTAGTAATGAACTTTCCTCCCCTGCCTCTGAAATCACTCCTGATGTAGACTATTCATGAAGAATAGGTAAACTTTTGATTCCTTACGGTACCTTACCAGAGTTTAGCATTGTTGCTAATATACAACACATGATTGACAAACATTTTTCTAATATTCAAATTCTACATATCAATATAGTTTTGTAAGACTTTCCAAGTATATGTACATCCTTTTCTAAAATGTTTATCTTTTAAACCATATAAAACTTTAGCATCTTATACATAATTACATTTTGAAAAGAATGGCAAACAACCTAATAAGTCCCTTTAAAATTGATCCACTAAATAAATAACCAATGGTAATGATGTAGACACTAGATAGTCTCTACTCACAAGCATACAAGAGTAAGAGAGACAAACACAACAGATAGACACATAAGGTAAGTTAATAGTATAGAACTGGCAGCAAGAGTGATCACTGAAAACTGCTGTTATTTGGAGAAGATCTCATATGGGGGGGGGCAGAGTCCTAAGCTTAAACAACACAAATGAGTACCTTTCTGGAGAGATGAGGAAATCTTTTTTAAAGGAGTTTTGTTGAAATATAATTCACAAACCATAAATTGACTTACTTAACATCCTAAATTCACTCATTTTTAATGCTAAAAATGTTCAGCCACTGCAACCATTATTTCCCCCAGTGATGGGGGCTGACCAAGGGCTTTGGGTATGCCAACCATGAGTTCTAGCAGTGAGTGACATCAATAACCTCTTACAATCACCTTTATAATATTTTCACCACCCCAAAAGCCTTACACCCAATAGCCATCACTCCCAAATTTCCACATTGTGGAATATTCCTTTATACTGTCTGAATATATGTCACTGTGACTGGCTTAATAAAGAAGCTGACTGGCCTGTAGCTAGGTAGGATAAGGTTAGGCAGGACAACCAGATTAAGAGAATGTTGGGAAGGAGAAGGGCAGAGTCACAGGAGTAGCGAGCCAGATGCAGAAGAAGCAACATGGGAAGTTCATAGATGAGGTAAATGAGCCACAGGGCAGCACACAGATTAATAAAAAATGGGTTAATTTAAGTTGTAAGAGCTGGCTGGAGACAAGCCTAAGCTATTGGCCGAGCAGTTATAATTAATAATAAGTCTCTGTGTGGTTATTTGGGAGTGACTGCCAGGACACAGAGAAACTCCATCTACACCCCATTCTGCTTCTAAGTCCAAGGCAGCAACTATTCCACTTACTTTCTCTATAATTGCTTATTGCAGACACTTCACATAAATGAAATGATACAATATATGATATTTTGTGACTGGCTTCATTGCTTTGCATAAAGTTTTCAAAGTTCATCCATACATTAATACTTCATTCATCTGGTGGATGAATAATAGTCCCTTGTATGGATCTGGTGCATATTATCTCTCCAGACACTGATTTAGGTGCTTGGGTAGGTTCCAATTTGGAGCTAATGCACATACTGTTATAATGAACAATCAGCTATCATTTGGACAAGTTTTCTTTTCTTGATGATACATATCTAGAAATGAGTGTGCTGGGTCACAGAGCAACTGTACTGGGCAATTTATGGAATTATTAAACTGTTTTCCACATAGTTTGAATCATTTTAAAATAAAGTAACAATAAATTGAGGGTGTAGATTTTTTCACATTTTTGTCAATACTTTTTATTATCTTTTTACTAAATAGCTATTCATAGCCTTTGCCCACTCTTTACCACTGGATTGAAAGTATTTTTTAAAAAAATATTCTAGCCGGGCGGTGGTGGCGCACGCCTTTAATCCCAGCACTCGGGAGGCAGAGCCAGGCGGATCTCTGTGAGTTCGAGGCCAGCCTGGGCTACCAAGTGAGTTCCAGGAAAGGCGCAAAGCTACACAGAGAAACCCTGTCTCGAAAAACCAAAAAAAAAAAAAAATATATTCTAAAGGATAGGGAAGAGAGGTTGTGAGAAGGAGTACAAGGAAAGACAGCTAAAATTAAGGGTCATTTGAGGCGAAATATAGAAACCTAGTACAGTAGAAAATATATACATATATGAAGGTAAATTAAATGAAATAACCAAATAATAGGGGAGATAGCATCCCAACTGGCCATCTTTTGTCACCAAATGAAGCTTCCAGTGCTGGGACTAGGTTACATCTAATTGAGTTGTTGGCCAAAGGGGCCCCACAGGAACCCCCAAACAACGCAGGCTGTTGCCAAGACTATGGGTTCCTCTGCACAAACTGACAGCAAGGCTCCAATGCTGAAGACAACACCTACACAACTCATTGAACATGGAGACATAGAGCTGGTGCCTGCATAGAGCCTTCACCCCTACATTCCAGCATCTTTGATAAAGGAAGGCACTCTCCATGCTATCAAAAGAGAAATGTAAACACTGAGCCAACCACAAACCCTTTACCTACAATGGTATACTGCCTGCAAGATAGGCTAGGGCAATGGTGGCACAAAGCTTGGGAAAGTAACCAACCAACAACTGATATGATTTAATGCCTACTTCACAAGATGGAACCCAAACCCAACACTGCTTGAGACTAAATAGCCCAAGGACCTAGGGTAAAACTGAATAATACTAGTCTAAGAAAAGAAAAAAATGTAGTGATAAAAATGACTCCTAATAACACTCTGCTATACTCATAGATAAGTGTCTTGTTCAGCCATCATCAGAGAAGCTTTCTCCTATAGCAGATGGGAATAAATATAGACCCACAGCCAGACATTATGCAGAAAGTAAGAGACCTTGGAACACTCCGCCCTAAATGGGATGTCTCCATTACATCCTTCTCCTCAGAGCTCAGGGAACTCCACAGAAGAGGAGGCTGAAAGAATGTAAGAACCAGAGGGGATGGGGGACACCAGAAGAACAAGGCCCTCTAAATCAACTGAGCAAAGCTCATAGGAACTCACAGAGACCGAAGCAGCAAGCACAGGGCCTGCACAGGTCTGCACCAGGTCCTCTGCATGTATATTACGGCTTCCAGTTGGGTGTTTTTGTGGAATTCCTGAGTGTGGGAATGAGTGGGTCTCTGATTCTTCTGCCTTCTCTTGGGCTCTTTTCTCTCTGTTGGTTTGCCTGGTCCAACTTTAATCTGATGGTTTTTGTTTTATCTTTTATTTTGTTATATTTTTTAAAAAATGATTGAATGAAAACCTAGTCACTAGTGCCATGTCAGAGAAGCAGCAGGTGGCAATGGACTTCAGGAGTCCGGCCCACCAGGATGCAAGGCGCTGATGAGTAAGTCTCAGATAGGCAAGGTCCCAAGGGCTTTGGCTCCTGAATGTCTCTTGTTACTGCTGTGCCTTTACATGTTTGCCACTGTCGTTTTTATCTGGTATAGGGCATGATATAAATGGGTGTGGGGGGATCCCCACTGCCTTTAATGTAGTGTGATTATCTCATGGAACTATCCTGCTCTACTGGGCATTTTTACATGTGAATTATTATGAAGATGATTTCCTCTTAAATTGTACTGTTTATTGACTGTGTTGATTTTTTCATCTCAGGAATACAGCATCTTTCTCCATTTTATATTTGATTTCTAACTACCATTGTATATACAACTAAACCATTTAATAAACATATAAGTCTTATTAGAAGTATACCAAATATTATGACTTTGAGGCTATTCTAAATAATATTTTAAATTTCATTTTTCATGGAAATTTGATTGATTTTTTTAAGTGTTTAGTTTTTATTCTACAGTTTTTTTGAACTGTAGAAGTATTTTGCTGTATTGCTTAGGATATTCTGTGCAAACAAAGAGTGCTATCTGCCATTAGGGTAAGTTTTATTTTTTCTTCTGACTTAGGTATCATTTTTTTCATTTTATTACCCATTGAATCAACTAAAACTCACCATGATATGATGAACTACAGTAGTAAACAAGAAGCTGAAGGCATGGCTCAGCATTTCAGAGCACTAGCTGCTCTTGCAGAGGACCCAGTTCAGTTCCTAGCACCCACATCCTGGCTCTCTTCTGTATCTCCAGTTCCAGGAGATCTGATGTGCCAGTAGCCATGTAAGGGTGGCAGCAGGTGATATTGAGGTTCAGGGTGTCAACCTACCAGGAGGCAACCCCCTGGTGGATATTTGTCAAATAGACAAGGCCACTAGGACCCCAGACCCCAGGATGTCTTTTGCTTCTGTAGAAGGAAAAGGACACATGTACAAATTGTCCTCTTACCTCTGTTGTAGAATATTATTTTAAATATGTAAAGATGCGCTACATTTGTTCATACTGCATTTGTTAATGATGTAAAGGTGTGTTACATTTGTTTATGCTGAATTTGTTTAATTATGTAAACATGTATTGCATTTGTTTCACCTTGCTTGTCTAAGGGACCTAATTGGTCTAATAAATAAAAAGTGAATGGTCAATAGTTAGGCAGGAGAGGGATGGGCAGGGCTAGTGAGCAGAGAGATTATGTAGAAGAAGAAATATAGGCCCAGGAGAAGGAGAGAAAGAAAAGAAGGAGAAGAAGAAGGGAGAAAGAGGGACATTCCTGGGTCCAGAAGCCAGGCAGCCACCAGACAGATGGACACAAGAAGCAGGAAAATAAGATGTACAGAAAGAAATAAAGGTAAAAAGCCCCGAGGCAAAATGTAGATGAAGAAAAACAAGATAAGTCATAAGAGTTAGCAAGAAACAAGCATAAGATAAGGCCAAGCATTCATAACTGTAGTGGGTAGCCATTCCAGCTTTGATCTGGAAGTTCCAACCCCCATTGAGACTTCGGCAATGTCACGCCTACAAGGCGGGGCCAAGGGAGGCGCCTGGGGACCCGAGAGCTGGATCGGCGGGCGCTCTCTCTGTTGCGGGACCCTGGACTGGAGAGGTGGACCGAGCAGAGCTCCAGAG